AAACCTCCCCCGGGCGGCGGCTTCCTGCCCGGCGGCGGGGCGGCAGGAAGGAGGGAGGGAGGCGGGCGGGAGGCGGCCCCGGCACCGCGCCCCGACCGCCCTCTGCCACCCGCCCCGGCGCACACCGATGGTTTTACTTAAAAATCTAGGCGGGCGAGCTGAAGAAGAAACAGGCGGTGGTGTATGGCGTGGTAGAAAAATGGTAGAAAATACAGGAGGGGGAAGAAAAGGGGGTGGAAGTAGGCTCGCTGCAGTCTTAACGCTTCCCCCAGCAGCGTCTCGCCTGTCCGGCGGGCTTGTAGTGTGGTTTTGTGTGAAACTTGACCGTGTCACCGTAAGAAAAATCACTCCTTGCATCTTAACTGCCCTGTCAGTACCGAAATAAAGGTATTCATCAGCCAAAAGCTAGCATACTTAAGGCTACGTATGGCCATCCCGCGCTTTTTCATTTGAAGCACGCATTTTCTTGTACGCTCCAACGAACCAGCGGCATTGACAGTGCACATAAAAGAATGAAGTGTATGTAACATTCTGCACAAGCTCTGCTTCATTTAATGTGTGCTTTTAACTATAGTGTTTTTTAAAAAAACCCATATAATAAGGCATGAGTGGCTAAATGACAAAGAACTCCCCTTTATTTGTTGCCCGTTAAGACCTTGCCCTTGTGTTGTTTCAGAACTATTTCCACTCTTGAAATAACAAGCTGTGTGTGTTAGTCACCTGGTTAGCTATTAGTTACTCCTTGCCTGCTAGCGGTGATAGGAATGGGCCATTTGTTACTGCAAGAGGCAGGTATTGCAAATCGGAGGGACCATGAATGGAAATGGCTGCAGCTCCCATCTTCCAGCGATCACTTTAGAGAATCATAGAATTGTCTAGGTTGGAAGGGACCTTTAAGATCATCAAGTCTAACTGTTAACCTAGCACTGCCAAGTCCATCACTCAACCATGTGCCTCAACACTACATCTATCTGTCTTTTAAATACCTCCAGGGATGGTGATTCCACCACTTCCCTGGCCAGCCTGTTACAGTGCTTGACAACCCTTTCAGCGAAGACATTTTTCCTAAAATCCAATGTACACCCCCCTGGCGTAACTCAAGGCCATTTCCTCTTGTCCTATCGCTTGTTACTTGGGAGGGGAGACTGACCCCCACCTCTCTACAACCTCCATTGAGGTAGTTGTAGAGAGCTTTGTGACAGGGAACACTGCTCCCCTCGGTTTTCTGCAATTATCTCTGTACTACAGCATTAAATTGAGCTACTAAGTGTTGTTTTGAAAAAAAATATGCCCATTTTGTGTCTGGAAGCACAGGTACAATTCACTCTGAAATGCTGCAGACAAAGCCAAACACGTCCACAGACCGTGTCTACTCCAGAGTTGCTTATCTGCTGTAGGGACACCAACAATGGCACATGCATAGCACAAAACAACGAGGGCCACGCAGCTACATAGCTCTCTTATGCGCTTCAGGCTTGGAACAGCTCTGACTTTCCAGCAGCAGGTTCCAGGAGGGAAGGAAATAACAGAATAACTTGTTACCAGGTTGCAGCCATCTCCAGGGATAGCAACAGGAAAGATTTACCAAGTTTTGTCTAATTCATTTCCTTGCCTCGAATGAGAATACTACAAAATTAGCCCCTAATGGAAAAAACTCTCATGCACCACTGAGTACATTCTGTGGAGGAGGAAATCACATTTTTAATGGATTGTTTCGCATTCGTCACATACTGTCCTATGAGTGGATGCGACACGCCCTTTAGTCTTCATGGAGCTTCAGCCTTCCAAAAAAAAAAAAAAAAAAAGAACAAGCAAAAAAGAAAAAGCACTTCTCTAGAACCGCATAAATGTCAGAGAAATCCCCCACAGACCTTCACGTTTGACTCTTCCCCCAGCTCGGCACGCCAAGAGCGACCTCGCAGCCCCCCCCCTAAAGTTTGACATTAAAGTAAATGTCAAACGCAACGGCGCACATCCACTGCCCGGGTTCCACCAGAACCGGCAAGCCCCCC